TGACAGCCTCGGAAACCCTGCACGGGGTCACTATGAGTCGATTCCGACTCCACGGCACATAACCACCACCACCATGAGTCGGGAACAACTCAAAGGCACTTAACAGCACTGTTAATTGACTTCCTTGAAGGGGATTACACTCATTGTAATGAAGCAAAGACTCAGATTTGCTGAATGTTAAAACTGATGATAAAACGGGAAAACTCTACTATAGGGTCGGTAAGAGTCGGTTTAAGGAGCTCTGTCTGGTAGTGTAGTGGTTTGAATCGGGCTGTGAACCTCAGGTTCAGCAGTTTGAAACTACCAGCTGTTCCGCGGGAGAAAGATGAGGCTTTCTGCTCTCATGAAGATTTACAGACTCAGAAACCCTGTACAAGATCGCTATGAGTCGGAACCGACTCCACGGCACATAACAACAACAAATGAGTCGGTTTACTCGATGGCACTTAACAGTATAGTTAACAGCTGTATCCCAAGATGTAGTAAGTCAAAGCAATCCCTCAATGAATCGTGAAATTTAAGACTGAGGATACTGTAGCTGCAAGTATAGTACGATCAGCAAGTACTTTTTTTATTACAAAGAGATTATTAAATTTCCACTCACTGCGCAGTAGTGGGCTGCTAACTAAAAGGTCTGAGGTTTGAACCTGTATGGGGCGGCTTTAATCTGTCCAGTAGGGTCGCTATACCGCGGAATTGACTCCACAGCAGAGCGTTTGGTCTTTTGAATCTCTGGCCCTAAATGTTAAGTGCCTAAATATGAAACTATAGTTAACTTGAAGGGCACAAACGTAATCATCTTAAAAGAACATTGCTGCTGTTGGTAAGTGCCTGCTTCCGAAGACAGCGACCCAGTATAGGATTTCCAGAGAGCGGCCGGTGGATTTGAACCGCCGACATCACGACCAATGTTAGTTTGGTAGTGTCTAACTGGAATGCAAGGCTCGCCGCGCGTCCCTAGGTCCAGGCAAGGGGCTGAGAGAGGACAACAGCGCTTTATCCCGCCCACCTGCGAATGCGGTAACGAACCGAACACCCACAGAGCTTTTCTGCAACCAGCTAGAAATCCCATCCAGCGCCACGCGTGTGTTTACAGTTCACCCGCAGGGCAGCCGGGAGACCAATGCACACACGGGGGTGCCCCGTGAGGCCCCCTCAGACAACTGCCCACGGTACCCTCAGGCCTTCCCCAATCCAGACTGCCAGTCCTCCAGACCCAACGCCCGCCAGGACTCCGACTCGCGCGTAAAGCACACTGCTGACAGAGACCCTAAGGCCGCCATCCGCTCCCGGCCCCCATAGCGCCTCACCTGCTGCAACATGGCGGCCCTGCGCCAACCCCACTTCCGGGCAGCCACGTCAGCGCGTCCCGGCTTCGGAGCCGGCACAGGCCAGTACTGGGCAAAGTACAAACGCCACGCCTTCCCCACTTCCGCTTTGAGGCCCTCGCAGGAGGATTAACTCCAAGTGCGGGTCGCGCCTGAAGGATCCATAGAAAGGAAAACAAATAAAGTATGGCGTGGCTCGCCGGGGGCGTGGCTCGCCGGGGGCGTGGTTCGTCGGGGCGTGGTTCGTCGGGGGCGTGGCTCGTCAGGGGCGGGAATTAGGCAAATTTGCTCACAAGACCTTTTTGAAGTGTTGAAGAGCAAACATGTCAGCTTGAGGACTAAGGAGCGCCTGACCCAAGCCATGGAATTTTCAAAAACCTCATATGCATGTGAAAGCTGGACATTAATAAGGAAGACTGTAGAAGAATTGATGCTTTTGAGTTATGGTGTTGGAGGAGAATATTGAAAGTACCATGAGCTACCAAAAGAACCAACAGATCTGTGTTGGAAGAAGTGCAGCCAGAGT